GATTCCATTACCTGTTTGATTGTTTTTTCTTGGTTTCCCAGGGTATCATTTACGAATTTACTCATTTCTTCAAACTTTTTGCTATATTTGTGTTCCATTTCTTTACTCATTTCTTCCATCTTTTTGTTATATTTCTCTTCTATTTCTTTAAGTGAGTTATTCATACCCTGTTTAAGAGACTCTATTGCTTTCATAATGACACTGTTTTCCACTTCTTCCGGAATAGGACGTTCAAGTCCTTCTGTCGTAAGATCGCTGGGATCTGGTGTTTTCATGTTGTTTTTCAGATTGTTGGAGGAATTCTTGCCTTGGCGCCTGCCCATCTCTTTCTTCAGATGCTCTCCAATGGCACTTCCCTCCACTGGGTCTTCTTCTACTGGATTAGTGCCCCTTGCTATCCAGGAATCACTTTGCCTGCAGCCTTAGCTTGCTGCAGGCAGGCTATTAGAACAAAGGGACTTCCTTCCCTTTGCACTCACCACCTGTCCCGACCCGCGGTGCCCACCCCGGCTGAGATGGAGGAATTTAAGCCCCGAAAAAGGGAGAGGGGAGGGGAGGGGTTCCAGGCCGAAAGCTGGGATGGCGTAGCAGGAGAGAGGGATTAGCTGGGGGAAGCTGCCCCTTTGGAGTAGTCAGGGAGATAAGGATGGCGGGAATATTGTGTGTTCCCTAACCGGACTTGTATGGCGGTCAACACACTTACCCCTCCACAGGATCAGAGCCCCTCGCTGGTCAGAAGACTCCCTGCCTGCAGTCTTAGCTTGCTGCCGGCCGGCTATCAGAACAAAGGGACTCCCGTCCCTTTGCACTCACCACCTGCCCTGGCCCGCAGTGCCCACCCCCAGTGCAACTACTTTTAAGAAACTTTTACATGAACATAATTGTTCTTATAAGAATATGGCTTCATGATGAGGAATGTCAGATAACTGGATTTATTATTTCATCTTTTGTATAATTCTAAAAATTCTAAAAATTGAAATATTTATTTAATTCCTCTAAATACATAAATAGAATTTAAATGACCAATATAAGTGAGTGTAAAAGTCTATATATAAATAAAAACTTTAACATAAAGAGAATTTCAAACTGTAGTCCTAACACAAGATTCTTAAAAAATGTCTGTACATATGTGTGCCAATGAAAAATAAATGATGAATTTTAGAAGGAGCTACTAGGAGAGAGGGAAGAAAATAATGTAAAACAGTACTCATATATGAAATTATAAAAAGTTAAATTAAAAATATATCATGAAACATTATTTCAAAATAAATTCCTAACTATGAAGACATCCTGAAATGCCAGAAGGTTCCACATATTTTCAGAATGTTATAATATTCTCTATGTGATAAAGTCAAGAATCAGGGGAAATTCGAGGGTGTCTAGAGGAGCAGAAATCCAATGAACTGTAGTTTGTATAATTAATAAGTCGTCTGACAAACCTTGAAAAAATATTACAGATAAGCCTGGTTTACAGGCCTATTAAATCGGCTATGAAGAAATGAAGAAAATATGATTTCACTTATTTACTTCCAAATTATATGTAAGTATTTAAAAACTCACTTAACTATTTTTTAATTATTTTAATTTTTTGAGATCATAAACATAATGATATAGCTGCCTAAATATGAGCTGAAAAAGCACAACACAACAGACATGCCTAAGTAGACTAAGCAAAGTGTATGAGTTCCCAAACTTACATTAAAGAACTACAGGTAAATGAAGAATGTGAATAGCAGGGGAATTAGTCTTATCCAGGGAAGAGCATACTACTTGGTTATCCCATAGCACATGGTCAGCCCTGAAAACATACATACTAATAACATTATACAGACTGAGAACGCTGTATTTAGGATTCAGACAAAAATTATGTATGGCCATAAATTTGAAGGAAAATAAGGATGGAATTATTGGAGGGTTTGGAGGAAGAAGCAGAAGGGAAAATTATGTAATTATAATCACTCAACCATTTTAGTAGGTCAGTTTCCCTTTATTCAAAGACAAGATGATAATACACTAATAACTGTATTTAAGATACCTTATTCACAGAGACTAAAATCCTTCTACAAGTTCAAGTGTTTAGCAGTAACATGAGAAAATAGTTTGCATTGTGTTGTGTTGTACATGTTCAAAATAAGAGCAAGAAGGTGAATTCACATTACAGAAAAATACACATTAGAAGCCAGTGCTCCCCAAGAGGTAAAATCAAACGTGATCATATGCAGGAGTTAATAGAAATTTAAAAAGAAATAAATTTTAGAGTGTTAGTAAATCAATTAATGACAGTAACTACTTAAAACATCTGATGGAATATACACCTTTCAAAACATCGATAATATTACAATTATACAAAAGATAAAACTAAATAGAAATGTAAAATTTCTTATTGAAGCAAATATAAAACCTACTGATATAACAGGAGAGAAATATATCTACCTTAGAGTTGTATACTTCTCATTTGCTATATTTGAGAATATTGTAAAGATATCAACAATTCTTAATTTTTCACATATTCATTGTTTCACATTATTTACTATAATGATCTCATGTACCCTGATGAGGATATTTCCAAGACTGAAATTAACCATGAAAATATCGTGGAGTAATTAAAAAATATTAATAATTAAGATCAGTGCCATTAAATCAATATAGAACTAGATTCTGAGTATGGATAACCCTGTAGCAGAAGCAGGTCTGAAGCCTATAGAAGCAAATGACGGAATTGACTACAAGAAAACTTCGTGCCTTGCGAGTTGAGAGATTATGCTGCTACTAAACACATAAAGAATGTTTACTCGTTGTTCATTTATTCTCATTTTAATAAAACATACCAACAACTATGAATTGAGAATACCAGGTATTCTAACTACACCTGATATGAGTGGAAACTCAAGACTCAAATTTTTAACATACCTTGATGTCAAATAACGTAAGACCCAAACATGGATGCTAGGTCTAGAAGAACCCTCACCTTTACATTTGGTGGTATTGCACAACACCATGTTTGGAGGATAGAAATTATTTCATATCAGAAAAGATTGTACTTCCAGGCCCTGCCAGCAGTCATTACAGAGATGCCACATAAGGACAGAGGGACACCATACCTCAAATAACAAAGGACTCTACAGTTGCCTATCTTCTTCTCATGTTGACTTACCTACAACATTCAGTTGAGACAGAAGTGGTCAAATTAAGCATACAGTACTTCATATCAGCACTCTTAAGGATTAGACCTTTAGTCTGGGTGGTTGGCTTTAAATCCTTAGGGATTTCAGTAGGGAAGCAGGTGAATACCTATATATAATCAAGATAAGAGCTTAGATGTACAGGCCTGCAGTTCCAGCACTCAAGAAGCAGAGGGAAGTTGTCAGTTTGAGGTTATCCTGAGTTATACAGCAAGTCTGGGGCTATATAGGGCTGCATAGCTGGAAGATGCCTAAAAATTAAAATAAAAATAATATCTAATTATAAAATTTGTAACAAGCAAGCATTATGATGCATTAGTGTTAAATCTCATTTCTAGAAGCTGAGGAATGATGATCATGAGTTCCAGGCCATGTAGGAATGGAGAGAAAAGTTTTCAGTGACTTGGGGCTCTATCCACAAAAGAAAATTGAACTCCTAGAGCCCAATCCATAATTTATGGTAGACGGTGGGCATGAATCTTAGGCTCATAAATCTTTCATCTCCCTTCATATTCAAGACTCTGGTGGAAATGGGATCTTTAGTTCCCTAAATGGCTCACTTACATGATATCCTAGGCCCTTGAAAAATCAGCAAGAAAAAAAATCATTTTCCCCCCTGGGAACTGTCCCCCCACCCCACTGGAACAATGGAACTGACCGCTCTTGGGGTTCTATTCCAAGAACTAGAAAAGGCTGGGGGAGGGGAACAGGAAGAAGATGACTCTGACTTCTGCTTCCCCAACCTGCAGAGGCAAGGCCTTCCTCTGAGAGGTATGGTCTCTGATCAAGTAAGGGAGGTATCTAAGAGCTGTTGTATGCCTTGGGGGATGATCTGAATTAAACCTGTGGCAATTCTAAACCACTGCTAATCTCCTTAAACTATCAGTCATCCTCCTGGAAAGGAGATTACACAGGCCCCGCCCCTCATTTTGTCTTCAGGGTTCAGGAACACTGTAGTTAGGACCCTAGGTCTTTATCTTTATGAACTGGTCTCTCAGAGAATGAAGTCTCAGGTGTGAAGCTGGTTGACTCAGGCAGCAGGAGGGGAATTCTTGGAACTTGCTTTGTTACAGACATGCTCATTGTTAAGATAAGGGAGATTTCATGTTTTACAACTGGTTGAGAAGATGGCAGACCCCAGAACTCTGTATAATAGCATGAGTAGATTAGGGAAGACCCCGCAAATAATATACCACCTCCATCATCCTATTCTGATCAAATAGGGAGATGGGACCTTTACTGCTAGGGGTTTTTTTCTGGTAAGGACTTTGCTCATTGTGGAAAGCAGACTCTTGGTAACAGCAAGGGCTCTAGATTATCTCCTCTCAAGCCAGCACTAGGAGTCTTGAGGTCTCTTGAATAAGTAGCAGTGAAATGTTCTTTAAATTTTCCTGTGTACAACCATAGAAATTTGTAGTATGAACTTTAGAATAACAGAGAGAAGTGAGTATTCAGACTTTACCAACCATGGATACATGCTGTATCCATGTAAACAGAATGTGAAGCATGAGCATTTGACTCTTATTCATGTCTCACTCTAGGAATTTACCTCTTATTCATTATCTCACTCTAGGAATTCCCGAACTGGGCTATCATAGAGCAGGCTAACAAATTCTAATTCCTTTTGCAGGGTTCTCGGGAAACAAGCTGACCAGGAAAACAGGCGTCCTGACCAAGCTAAACAAGAGAACAGGAACACAGTATGTTGCCCTCCAGGGAAGCAGTGAAGGAGGACTTTCTAAAAGCAAAAGTATTCTTTACTTTATGATGATAGATGCTCACATATTGTCTTTCTATTCCTACAGGTTTCTGCTTTGTCAGTTCTTCTGACTACAGTCCTGACTGTTGTCTTTGACTCCTGCTATCATGCCTAGGAGCAACAAGAGTAAAGGCCACTCTCAAGGCAAAGGTCATCATGCATGTGGGGCTAGCCAACGTCCCAAGGGTGCTCAACCAACGGTAGTGAAAGAATCAGCATCTTCTCCTGGTGGCCAAGTTAATTCCCCAAGCTCTTCTAAGGTATGCAGTCCTCAGGGTGCTGCGTTTCCTGCCTTTCCTGTGGCAGGTGTATTCTGCACAGACTCTGATCTAGATGATGGGGCTTCTGATGTCCATGTTGTTGGAGGACGTCCACGTGCCTTCACTCAGCCGATATGCATGGATGCTCTTACCAAAAAGGCTAGTATGTTGGTAGAGTTCCTGCTGGAGAAGTTTCAGAAGAGTGAGCAGTTTACAGATGCTGATATGCTGAAAGTGGTCAGCAAGAAATACAAAACACAGTTTTCTGACATCCTCAGGAAATCTTCCTCCCGCATGGAAATGATGTTTGCAATGAGATTGAAGAAAATCAATCCAGATAGTCAGTCCTACACCATTGTCAGCAAGCTAGGTCTCTCCACTGATGAAATTCTAAGTGGCAAGAGGGGGTTGCCAAAGATGGGTCTCCTTATGACCATCTTGGGTCTGATATTCACAAAAGGCCATCGTGCCACTGAGGAAGAAATCTGGGAATTCCTGAGTGTGTTAGGAGTATATGCAGGGAGGAAGCACTTGATCTTTGGGGAGCCCCGAAAACTCATCACCAAAGATCTGGTTGAGCAAAATTACCTTGAGATCCGCAAGATGTCTGGGGGTAAATCCCCAAGATATGATTTCCTCTGGGGTTCCCGGTCCCATGTAGAAACCAGCAAAATGAAAGTACTAGAAGTTTGGGCTAGGATCAATGACACCGTTCCTAGCTTCTTCCCTACTTCATATGAAGAAGCTCTTAAAGATCAAATGGAGAGAGAAGAGCAGACATCTCCAGCCTTGGACATGGCCAATGTTTATCCCAGGTGCATATGCCGCAGCTCCTCTCACACATAGCTTCAACCAAGGTTGAGTTTTCATTTCCTGTTTGAAAAGAAGTCAGCCTTCTATGTAGTGGTGGGTTTATAGGTCACAAGAATAAAGCATATATTTTCTTGTTTTCTGTCATACGATGAGTAAATGATATGTATAATTGCTTTGATGAATTGCAAATGTTCCATTAATGGAAAGTTAATTTGTTTCACAATCTTTGTTTCTTGATATTATGCTTGACACATTTATTGTTGCATTTCAATTTTACAACTAAAGAGTTCTGTTACTTTAAAAACCAAGTGAAAATTTTCCACAAATTTCTTTGTATTGTTGCATAAGGTAACATAAAATTGTAAAAGTGCTTCTCATGGAAATGTAATGTCACATTTTGGTGAAACAAATACAGTGATAAATTCCTAATTAAATGTATTGTTTTATCTGTTGTTTTAACATCAATTGACACAAACTTGATTACTCAATGTATGAGCAAATAAAGTATGATAAACTTCTTATTCACTCTCCCATTTTGTCATTATTTTCTCCAAAGCTGAGTTGAGAATCTGTTTTTTGGACCCCCAAGCCCAAATCAATCAACACTCAAGATAACTTTAGAGACTAGTAATGACTACAAATAAGAAGGTGAGAAATGACATGAAGACAAGTAAGAAAGTTTATATTAAGTACTAGAGATTTCAGACAGAAGACAGTTGTAAATTAATTGGCAAAGGTAGTTTGGAGCATTAGAAATTTCAATTTTCAGTGTACAAAAATTTCAGTGAAGTTGCACAGTGGACTTGGTGAAAATGTGGGGGTTGTGAACAAGCCCCAAACCCTCTGGTAGCATATCTTCCAACAGAGAGGCTAATTCTGGAACAGATAATACATATTAAATAATTATTTGGAACTTTAAAGTACCAGAACTGAATCATTACCTGTGATAAGAATGGAAGGAGTCTATTTGATTGTCCTAGTGTAGGTAAATACCGTGCAAAAACTACACACGTGATATCCTAGGATTCTTTGACAAATATTAGAAATAATACTCTGAGAAGAGGTCCCAGAAACTACTGAGTTGTAATTCTTGGTATGAGTTGTCAAACCCATATTTTATTTTAATAAAATGATATATTTTCTGTTTATATATGAGAGTTTGCCAATGTGCAGTACATACATACACATGTGTACTCTTGCACAGAGACCAAATAAGGACACTGAATATCCTGCTCCATAATCCTCTTTCTCTTTTCCTTGAGACGGGCTTCCTTACTGAACCTTGGCCTAGGCTAGTAGTCAGGAACCTCCATGGATCCTCCTGTTTCTGGCTCTTCCTCCCAACAGCTATGGGATTGCAGATGCATTTTATACACCTAGATTTTGACATGGATGTTGAATATTTGAACTCAGGCTTTTATGGTTATATAGCAAGTGTTCTCCTGAACACTTCCCATCCTCCAAGAAGATATAGTTTTTTATTATTTAATTCACTATTTATTTTATATCCTGAGTTCAGCTTCCCCTATGGTGCTATGCCCCCCCAACGCCAATCTTCTTCCCTGTTTCTGTTCAGAAAGAGGCAGGCCACCCATGGTTATCAACAAAGCATGGCATATCAAGTTTCTTTAAGACTAAGCACCGTTTCTTGCATTTAGGCTGGGCAAGGTGATCCAGTATGAGTAATAGGCTCTCAAGAATCAGCCAAAGTATTTTGGGAAGTCCCTGCTCCTATTGGTAGAAGTCCCAAAAAAAGACCAAGCTATACAGCTGTCGCGTGCCTATATAGGGCCTATGTCAGTCCCATGCTGTCTTCCTGGAAGTTAGTTCAATCTCTGTGAGCTCCTATGAGCCAGTTTTGTTGTTTCTGTTGTTTTCCATGTGATGTCCTTGATCCATCTGACTCCTGCAATGCTTCCCCCTCTCTTCAGCAAGATACCCCTAGCTTGCCCTAATATTTGGGTGTGCGTCCCAAGATAATAACTTAATTTGGTTGTTTAGAGAGTAGTTTGTCATACTCTAAGAGATGGTTAGTATATGGGTAGTGAGGAAAGTATACCATTGTTGGGAATTTTTCTCTTTTCACTCTATATTGGGCCCAGCACCAAATTCCTGAATAAATACAGAATTTTATTCTTGCTTATAAAAATCTTGCTTATAAAAATTAGCTTGGCTTATTTCTAGCCAGCTTTCCTTAACTTAAATTATTTCATCTATCTTTTGCCTCTGGGTTTTTATCTTTCTCTATTTCTGTGTAACTTTATTTTTTCCTGGCTTGCTCTATATCTGGGTGGCTGGCCCCTGATGTCCTCTTCCTTCTCTTCTCGTTCCTTTTCTTTCTCTTCCCATATTTCTTCTATTTATTCTCTCTGCCTCCAGCCCCATCTATTTTTTTCTGCAAAGTGATTGGCCATTCAACTCTATTAGACCAATCAAGTGTTTTAGACAGGCAAAATAACACAACTTCACAGAGTTAAGCAAATACAACAAGCAAATAAAAGAATTCAGCATGACTTTGCATCATTAAACAAATGTTCCACAGCATAAATAAATGTAACACATCTTAAAATAATATTCTATAACAGTATACAAATGTGTTTTGACTTGAAATACTAAGCAGAAAGTTTCGATGCCTTTAACAAAAAATAGGAGCTTGAAATGCCAATAGCAAGTATTCATTGCAGATAGCTTCTTGGTTAGGATTCGTGTAACTGCTATGTTCCTTTAGCAGAATAATGGTAGTGAGTTTTGTGTAGGCTCATATCCTATGTATTCTCAGGTTCTTGGCTAATTTAACAGTGTTAGGAAAGGTTTCATCTCATAGAGAGGGCCTTAAGTCCAAACAAACAATGGATGGATACTTCTGCAATATTTGAGTCCCTCTAGCACCAGTATTTTTTGCAGACATGCCATTGCTGTTAGTCTCAGGGTTTGTAGCTGGGTGATACTGATGGTTGCCTTTCTCCTCTGGCAGCAAGCAGAGTACCTTCCAGTATTATGCAAAGTAACTTTCAGTATCATAAGTGCAAATCAGTAGAGGTGAAGCTTTTAATTAGGCATCAGCTTGTTTTTCCATGTTCCATGACATAAGTAAATGCTGTCTTTAGTAGTAGGGCCTTACTATATGTTGTGGAAAGTGACCAATTGTTGATGGTTGAGAGATCAGATGCTTAAAAAGGAATCCCACACTAGTTCAAAACTAAGAAATAGGTGTTTATTAAGGAGTAAAACTTACAAATCAGGATTCTCTGCTTGAAGGATGGAGGAGGATGAGATCCAAAACAGACCAAACAAGCAAAATGGGGCCCGTGGTTAGGAGAGAAGGGCAGGAGGCACTTCTGCATCTGGGTAAATAGTCTAAGAGGCCACGCTCCAGTAGGAGGGTAGTTATTAGCTGTAAACCTTCCTGCAGCAAATTGTCTTGGCAATAGTTTGTGATGTTTGGTAGTTTACATAAAGACTCTTTAGTCAATGACTTAACAAGATTTTATCCATTCCTGGCACTAGATGTCTTATTTGGTGGCCTAAAGTGTCTAATTGGAGCATTATTTCCTATTATTTGGTGACCCTATAATCCTTATATATTATGTATATACTTTAAAAAATTTATATAGAGATAAGTTATCAAATATCCTTCAGTGTTAATTGTTCCTCCCCATACTCCTTCCATTTTCTCCCCCAACTTCTCCCAATTTCATTCATATATTTTAATTCTTTTTTTCTTCCATAGAAATCTATTCTATTTCCCCTTCCTTGGAAGATTCTCTCTTCCCTGTAGTCTCATACTAGGTACCTAACCTCTATGGTTATTCAGGCTACAGCACAAATATTGAAAGCTTAAAAGATAACATTCATACTTAGAAGAAAACATGCAGTATTTGTTTGGAAGGTCTATATTGCCTCACTCATGTTGATTGTTTCTTGCATTATCCATTTTTCTGTAAATTTAAAATTTTCATTTTTCTTAACAGCTGAATAATATTTCATTCTGAAAATATACCACATTTTCATGATACATTAATCATTTAATGGACATCTGGGATGTTTTCAATATCTGGATATTATGAATATGGCATTGATAAAAATAGATAATCAAGTGTCTCTGTAGTAGGATGTAGTAGCCTTTGGGTATTATCCCAAGAGTGGTATAGATTGATCTTATGGTAGATCTATTTTAGCTTGCTAAGGAATAAGCACAGTGATTTCTGAAGTGGCTGTACAAGTTTGTACTTCTATCAGCAATGAATTACTGTTCCTTTTTCTCTGCATCATTGCTAGCATGTGCTACCATGATTTATTAATCTTGGTTACCTTGACCGTGATAAGAAGAAATATCAAAGTAGTTTGATTTTCACTTACCTGATGTTGAACATTCAGTGTTTCTTAGTCATTTGTGTTTCATCATTTGAGAACTTTCTGCTTAGTTCTGTATTCCATATTTCAATTATGCTTTGAGTTCAGTTTTTTAAAACTACTTAATATATTTTAGATACTAACACTCTGGGAATGCTTGGTGATTGTATCCCTTGGGACTGGACTCCACAACTCTGTATTTTAATTGGTGGTCGTTTTCTGTAATGGTCTCTGCCTGTTACAAAAAATAGTTAACTTAAGAAGGGGCAAAGGCTACGCTTATATATGAGTATAAGGACAAATATTTATAGATTGCTGTTAGGAATTATGCTGAGTTAGAATAATAGTGGTTTCACATTATCCTCCAGTTGTCATGACTTCATTAACACTGAGTAGTTAGCTAGGTTTTTAGTACCAGACATGGTCTCCCACTTGTTAATTCCAATTAAAGAGCTGTTAGTTACTGCTAAGGTATACATATCATTACTGCCTTCTTATGGTTATTGTGCCATGCTGTTCACTGATAATGTTTCATCGACATGATAGCTTGGTAGTACTACATGTTGTCTCCTTCCTTTGGAAGCTTGCATGGCACCTTCTAGTACCACAAAAACTAGTACTCAGGAAGGAGGCTTTCATATAAGTTCTGTAGGGGGTGGCTCCAATGGGCTTTGTTTTTGAAATGCCTGGTGTTTTTCACAATAGAGACTTATTCCACCTCTGAGGTGTAACCAAGGGAGGTAGCAATAGGCTGTATGCTTTAGGAGTTTCTTGAACAGCCTTGGCCAACACCTCAAGGAGGGCTTCTAGTGTTTGATACTGGGGTTTTTGTTAGTTGGTATTTGAATCTTGGAGGCAGCACCATCAGCCCAGAGAGAAAATATTCATTGAAATGATTTATATGTATTTATACACAGAATTACATGTAATATATTTTTCTGTAAATAATTAATAGTATGATTCCTTGTGATGTTTTCAAACATCATTATTGTTTTGAGGTATTTCCTACTAGTTTTTCC